TCAGTGGGAAGAAAAACCCAGGCGGGGTCCAGCGGGGCCCAAGGCCCCCAAGTCAGCCCCTCCCCAGCCTCGAGGTCCGTCACCACAGGACCCGAGGCCGAGTCCTCTCCCCAAGCCCCGACCCCACAAGACAAGGACGGAGCAGCCGGAAAAGCTGGAGGAAGGGGGGCCCACTGGTCAGACCCTGAAGCTTCGGCCGGGAGACAAGACTCGAATGCCTCTGCCGCCCCCCCGGAAGGGGCAACCCCCGAAGCTGCCCGAGTCTCGAGATCAAGTAACCCCTGCTCCGACCCCGAAACCCTCAGACGCTTCGGGGCCGGAAGCAGGGGCGGGGGACCAGAACGAACAGAAGGGGAAGGACGAGGAGGTGCGGACTGAACCAGGATCGAAGCGACCCCCACCCCCAAGTCCGGGTCTCGAAAAGCAAAGCGGGGCAGCCCCGGGGCATCCGGGGAAGCAACCAACCGAGCGCGTTGCAACAGACGAAACCTAGACTGCAACGCACGTGCCGCCTGTACCCGAATAGAATCATCAGAGGATTGGGTAAATTGAGTCACAAGCAAGCAGCAACACTCACAGGACTCAGGGTCGAAAGTATCACCGACCCAACAGGCAGCGTGGCAGAGGCAAAAACAATGAGGGTCACCCTGAGACAAGGGGACCGAGCAACCCTCAAACTCGCACACAGCGAGTGGGGACTCCGGGGTCACATCCATCGGACCCACGCGCCCCCTAGGGGATTCCCAGGGTCCTGAGCGTTTACTTTAAGAGGACTCGCGCTCAGGTAGTCCCAGGCAGGGTGCTGCAAACCGGCGCCCAAAACTACCAAGCAAACTTCTAAAGCTGAACCCCAGGGACGTGTACACTCACGGGGACCTAGCAGGGGGCGCCACCGAGGAGAACAGTGGAAGGGCAAAAACAAACTGAATAAAATGACAGAACCCCCCACCAGGCAAAAACAAAAAGAAAAACAAAACCCCGCAAGAGGACAGCGAACCCCAAGGAACAGAGCCGGCCGCGATGTCGGGAATTACAAGCTGAGCAGCACCCTGCGCCCCTACCAGTGCAAACTGCCTCTTACCTGCCGGTAACAAGGGAGAACAGAACACCCAAGAGCCCAACAGGCGGCCGAAAAACCGAAAGGTAAAACGGACCAGCAGAGGCAGACCCCGAGGAGCCTGTGGAAGGTGGCCCCAAGCCCCAAGGGCAGTACTTACAGGGCACCTAGGGAAGGCAGCCCTAGGCGCATGCAGCCCGAGTACTGAAGATAACTCCTGGCTCTCGCACCCACAAAACTAACACCACACTCAAAGCACAGTGCAGTAGCGACACCGGAGCCAGAGCACACGACCATCGCCTATAGCATCAGCCTCAAGAACTGAGGTGTGGGTAGCCGGCGCGGGGGGTCTGGGGCTCCCCCTTCCCCCTCCCGGGGAGGGGGGAGCTGCGCAGACAGCGGCGCGGCAGTGTGTGACGTCACACTAATTTGCTTGTTTTCGGTTGGGGAGTTCTATCCACTAGTTCGGTATTAGGTAGCAATTTTAACCAGAATAGGGGTTTGTTTTGGGGCGCTTACCTTTCTGGGTGCCTGTTCCGGTCGATGGCAGACATAGAATGCTTCCAACTACACGGGGGCTTCTATAGGCCATTGCTCCCCTTGCCTCTCTGAGGGGGCCCGGTTCTGGCCGTGGTCCCCGGTAGGCCTAAGAACTCCATACACATGACTGATGCCAAAGTCTGACATTAGCATATCAGCCTGGGATAGCTCCGGGGAGCCGACGGGGCTCCCCCCAGAAAATACACTCATTTTTGAAGGTTCATTGGTGCAATTCAACATGAACTGTAACAAGTGATTTATTAAGATCATTTGTAATTTTGGGTTGTCTGGTATCACTGAATTACCTCATGCTCCTTATTTTGTCTGGTGATTTTTTTTTTTTTTGGTAGCAAGACTGGCATAAAACCTGTAGCACCTGCTCTATATAATGCATCCTCAAATGGGCTGACAGAGAGTAGTCAGATATACTAATTAAGAGAAGGGTTACAAAGTTTTACTTAGGGATCTAATAATACAAGACAGATATTCGTATAATGAAAGAAAACTATTAATGCTACCACTGGTATATCTCCTTTTGAATTGCTGTTTAACCCTTAAAGTGCGCATCACGTCATATGACATGTTGGAAGTTGTTCCAGTCAACTACGCATCACGTCATATGACGTGTTGGAGTACTACGCAAGATTTAAACAGCCCGCGGATACACGGGGTTCACCACACCTTCATCAGGTCTCTTGTAAACAGACGCCATTTTTTAAAAAAATCGTGGGCCAAACTCCCGGGTGTTATTGGCCTCAGTATTGAGTGAGCAACCAAGCCTGACACACGCAGCATGAGCGAACAGCACTGCTGTTCAGCTTGTGACCACAGCATCGCCTAAAAATGCCAAAATATACTTGTTCATGCTATTATGTAGCGATGATATTATTACAGAAGACCCCTGACTGATAAAACTGACCAAGGTTCTCATAATAGCAGGATTATGGTGATATTTAGCACTGTGCGCCATGGAGGGAGAAGTAATGCTGTGGGAGGGAGGGTGGTGGCGATGTCTTCTGACTGTGTGTGGCCACCTTTTATTGACTGCACTCACCATACCAGCTTAGTGGTTCGCTATGGTGGACACAAATGTAGATACTTATATATAACGTGTGTATAGAGAGTATAAACAGCAAGAGAAGGTTGGGAGCGGCCATTTTGGTGAGGGCGGTGGCGTCGTCTGCACGACGCCACCGTGCAGATGACGGTGTTGTTTACTGGTTACCACGATGGTCTTTGGGCACCATACCAGTTTACTTGTACAAGTATGGAGAATAAAACAGGTAGATATTTATATATAATGTGTGTATATAGCGTAATAACACCACACAGTATTGTTGGAGGAGAAATATTAGTGCGTCTGGCCTTGAGGGCGGCAGCCATCAGCTGACTGTGTGAGGTCCTACGTCTTTGTGCCTTTACTCACCATACAAGCTTAGATGTACAGTTATGGTGAACAAAACATGTAAATACTTATATGCAACGTCTGTATATAAAAGAAAAACAGTATGGTGGGTGGAGAATGGTGACAAGTCAGGTGAGGTGAGGAAGGGAGGGAGTGGCAGCCAGTGGCGGGCTGCCACTGGCACTGCCACTCAGCATACCAACTTAGTGGCTCGTTATGGTGAACACGAATGTAGATACTTATATATAGCGTTTGTATATACTGAATTATAGCAAAAACAGTATTATGGGAGGAGAATGTGGGGGAGTCAGATGACTTGAGGGAGGGCGTGAGTGGCTGGCTGGTACACGGCGGTCACTCCTCGTTACTTTTTGACTCATAATAGCTACTTAGTGGTTCGTTATAGTGAACAAAACATGCAGATACTTATATATAACCTGTGCTTATAGTGTAATAACCGACAAAGTATTTGTTCACTGATTGATGAACATAATTGAATCAACAATATGCACACCATACTTTTGAGTACAGCGGTGATTCATTCATTTTATTATATAAATATATCAAACTACACACTATTGAATAATATTACAGCAAAAAACTATGAAAAATCAATCAGAGACATTGAAATAATTAGGTAATTATCTCTTTGTGGCAATTCCGGCCTGACAGCTGGCGAACAACAGACCGCCTGGGACGTATGCTGAGTCAGCGCCCATTTTTTGCCAGACTTCCCCGCCCTATAGCGGGCAATATATGCCACTTACGATTTTTTTATTATTTTCCCGTGATCTGTGAACACAAATTAACAGGTTAGGAAGAAAAAATATTTTTTTTTTTTCAAAATTACATGCGCCTGTGGGGAAGAAAGGATATTATACCCCTAGCATGTTAAGGGTTAATAGGCACTTTGAAGTGTAAATTGAAGCAGTAAAAGCAAGTTCTGGAAAAGAAAACTAACTAATCTTGCTAATCAGTTGTTTCAGGGAGACAAGGTTGTATTTAAAGATAGGGTTGCAGTATATATAATTAGTGCTGGAACAGGTAAGTCCTGGGAGGAAGGGAATATTATGGAAGTCTTAAGGTGTAGGAATTTCAAAATGCAATTTCAGACTTTTTGAAATATTATTTGGAAAAAGACATGCTGATCTACTTATGCAAAGGTTTACTGGGAATTTTGAAAATCCAAGGGGTGCTGAATTGCCAAATAGGGATACCAAAGTGACTATTTATACCATATAAGGATACAAAAGTGATTGAATAATAAAAGTGTATTACAACTTCAAATGGAAATGTAACAGTGCATGGGGAAGGGAATAACACTAATGAATCAGAAGTCAATAATACGGAGGAATTTTCCATACAAATACCAGTTCTTAATCCCCTATTGAGATGCTCAGGAAGGAATGCAAGACCACCTGATTGAATTAATTTGAAGAATGTAGATTTACTGTACTTTAATAGGGGATGAATACAAGGCTTGAGCATAATATGCACAATAGTGTACCATTTAGTATTATTTATGTCAGATTCATAATATTATACTGATTCTCTTTTCTTTTCACTTACAGTACCTTTTGTTTTTACCTAGAGTTATAATGCCATCAACATGGCTATTGCTAAATAAACAAAGCAAGAACTAGATGCTTTTCTTAATCTGGAAAACTATAACCCTCACCTTGGTGGTCTCACTGCCCCTTACCCACCTATCCCCCTCTCCCACTGTGACCCAATAATAATAAGCACCAGCCATGTGCATCTCTCTTAGATTTCATGAAGGACTTACAAGCACAACATTATCAACAAATAAGTTTGTTCTTAACGTCATGTTTCTTAACATCGTTGCCAGCAACTATGTGATCTCTTCAACCATGAATATTGTATACTTGTGCTACATTCTTCACTTGCTCACTATTGATATATCTAAAGCTAAATCCCAGAACGCTAACCATAAAACTTGAAAACAAAAAATAAAAAACACTAAATATAAAATAATACCTTTTTATATGGTAGAAACCGTAGTCGTGTTCCATGAGATGCATAAGAGCTCGGAGAACTTGCTGGATCGATTGATGCGAGCTGTGAAGGTTTCGTAAGTGGTCTATCAATGCATCCACAATAGGAATTAAGGTATCTTTATTTGGGACACCACTTAGTGTTAGCATTGTTGGTGCAGTACTTTGTGCTTCACCTTCTTGCACGCTTGAATCTTGAGGAACATGCATTGCATTTTCATGATCACAAAGATACTGAATAATTGTAATTATGCAATCCTGAGCTTGCATATGAGCATGGGACCCACTAGCGGCAACATTAAGGATACGGCACCATAGAGCAACCAAGCCTGTATACTTGTCTTCTCCTTTAGCTGCATTTATAGCTAAAGTAGGAGAGCCTCCACGCAGTAAGTGAAGTACAGCAGCTTTAGTAGGTGCATGCGAGACTAAAAGAGCCAGCATATTCAGAACACGGCCAGTTTGTAGAGAACAAGGTCCAAAATCTTCCCCAGAGGCACGCTGATCCAATCGATGTGCCTGAAGAACAAGATCAAGAGTTGCACGACCTACCAGAAGAGCCATTGGGGCAGCAAGGTCAGAGAGAGCAATACACATTCGACGTAGGAGGTGCATCAGAGGTGGAAAACTTGTCAGGCCTAAGCGCATAATGATCTCATGGATGTTTGGTGAGAGACAATAGAGATGAGCACTCCACAGCTTACGAAGATTAATGATTTGAGACGACTCTTCCTCGGAGAGTGCAGTACGTGTTTGAAGAGGTAGAGGTAGTGGTAGCAACTCTATGATCAAGCTGATTACCCCCATAAAAGTGTGGGGGCTGCTTAAGAGGTACTTGAAGACCTGTTGAAAAGATATTAAATACATAAGTAAATATATTATACTTTAGGAATGTACAGTGTATGTATGTATGTATGTATGTATGTATGTATGTATGTATGTATGTATGTATGTATGTATGTATGTATGTATGTATGTATGTATATACATTTTAGATGAATACAGGGAGTACAATAATAACAGGGTGATGTAATATGAACAGGAAGTATAATAAGTAGTTAGTATATAATGTGAAGGGAGTATAATGAGGAAAGGATGGTGTAATCAGTTTTAGATCTATGGGTTCTTCTTTTAGCTATTCATACAGGTGTATTATAACTTCTTGTTAACAGTTTTCATCCATACCCTCTTGTCCTATTTTGTTTCAATCTGGAAATGTTGTCCTTGCCTCCTCCTTTATGTTGTCGTTGTCCTCCTCCTCTATGCACTTCAACATTGCGTACATCCCCTTTGGCACTGTGGTCTTATACAAGTGTTGTTAACTTGTGGTAGTGTTTACCTACCACTGACTATGATGAGTGAAGCTAGCTCTTTATGCCACACCTCCCCATTTATACATGGCACACTAATTATCTCTCTCGACATTTAAGTTCGTCACATTTTTTTTTCTTAAAAAATCAGCGTTGAATGTAATTAAACGCCATTTTCTGGGTGAGCCCCGGAGGCTCCCTGGAGCTTATCGGGCTAATGTATGTTATATTAGACCGGGACATTAGCTAAGGAGTTTAGACCTACCAGGGACTAGTGCTAGAACCTGGCCCTTCAGAGAGGTTTCAGGAAGCAATGGCCCTGGAAAACCCCATTGTGGTTGGGGGTTCAGGGAGCCGTAGGGGCTCCCCACAGAAAACCAGCGTTAAATGTAATGAAACGCCATTTTCTGGGTCTTGTTGGTTGGTAATATCTGGAATCTGTTTCCTCACAGCTCCATTATTGTTGTATGAGTAAGACATCTCCTCTGCCACCTGTTCTTGCAGTTCTTACCCTTTATTTGTAAGACCATCTACATTTGTTTTCCAAAATTTTATACGATTAATTTCTAATGGACTAACTTAGTCTCTTCCTGAGATGTAGATTCTCCCTTTTGGCAAGTCTCCTTCTGAAGGAATGAGACTTGCATTTGTGAACATTGGTCTAGTTTCTCACACTCATTCCCCTGGTCTCTTTCCTTGCCAGTCTGCTTATGCCCACTATCTTGATGTGGTCAGTTATCCCCTCTTGCCCCTGGCCTCACATTATCGTCCCACCTCACTTTATTTCCTCTCCCTCTGACCATTCCTCTGTGCTTTTCCTCAATACTTATCTTACCATCCTCTCATTCTTCCTTTCTCATATATTGGTCAATGAACAACTGGCTGTATCTTCCCCCATCCCCCAATCTTTTCTTTCACAGTACTTTATATACTTTACTAGATGACTTCTTTTGAAGGTACACTGATCTTTATCATTCATGTTGGACCATCCCTATCTTATTAAAGATTCTTTCCAATTCTTAGGTAGAGGTGATGGTGTTGTGGTGGTGGTGATAGTGTGTATGGGGAGATGAGGGAGGAAGAAAGAGGAACCAATGTATCTACATACATCATTTCAAATATAATCACTATCCGTCCAATAGGCTAAAAATTAATTGAACCATTTATCTGCATTTTACAGTTAATGCATGATTCATGAGAGATGTCATTTTGTAGCTCAAAAACATTTTATTTCTCTGTTTTTATTTCATCATTTGGCACATTTTTCTGCAGCAATATTTTCCACTAAATTTTTTCTCAAGTCCTCTGACATTTTCACTGAAACTTGCAGTGCCTTCCTTTCCTCACTCTTCAGCACATTATAACCAACCAGAACTTCTCCAGCTTTCATCATCTCATCTTTAATATACATACCAATTTTGCATTCACATTATGCAAGTCATTTTCCCTTACATTGTCCGATACTTTACCAAAGCTTTCTTTAATAATTTGCTTTTTCTTTCTTTCATCGTTTCCAACTTTCTTACACTTAGGATACCTGCTAGCTGTACACTCTTTCTCAAGAAAAAAACCACATTCCACTTGCCTACTTCATTCTATAGAAGAGTCATCAAAAGACCGTGACTTTATTTTCAAATTAAAATTTTATGGCTTCATACCAGATGATATTAAATTGGCTTAAATAAAAATTTGGTAGTGGTGGAGGAGTTGACATTTTGATCGACCCCCATACATTATATGTACAGTATATAATGTACATTAAATGTACAGCAACTGCCTATACATTGAATGTACTGCAACTGCCTATAATTAATAATACCATGAAGACTTGATCCATAAATATGAAGGCGTCAAAAACATCCATAAGGAGATATCCTAAACAAAATAAACATTTTGCAGAGCATATAAACTTTAAATACGAAACAAATCATAAACAGTACTGTACTGTATAAAATTATTTATATTGTAGTTGAAAAAAATAATACAGATAAATACTTACTTCAGCCATCATCTTTGTCCAGAGACTTTTGGCCAATACTTCTTCTCCTTCTGCCTTCGAGTACACTGGCTGTGTATACACCAACAAAATGCTAATTATTTCTTGCTGTAGCTCTTGGGATTGGTTGTAGTGTTGAGATCCCAAGGGAAATGACTGGAGCAAAAGGTACATTTGCACAAGAGGAACAATAGCAGACAAGTCTTTGAAATTTGTGTTTCTTGCCTGAATAACATATGTAAGTATGTTCTTAAGTAAAATTAATGTTGGTTGAATTACTGCCAGAAGTATAGCACCTTCTGAGCAAGTAAAATTTGAACTATAGACAGATGGTTGAGAATACATAGAACAGAGCTTAGTAAGAAGATTTGTTAAATGTGTGTGACAGTCTGCAGCGAACAGCTGGACTGTTGCATATTTATACTTTAATTCTTCTATTAGTTCACCATTATGGTCCTCAGGTGCAAGGTTAGATACAGGATATTTAGGTACAGTCAGATATTGAATAATACGCAAGTGGGTTACTAGCTCGCCAGAAAATTTGTCTATTTTCTCTAATTGGTCTTTTAAACTGTTTGACAGATTGGCTAAATTATCATAAGTGAAATTTTCTGATGATCTTGCTATTGATATCCAAGGAATTATCTCACAAAGTTTAGCATGTTCGTCCAATTTTGGTCCCTCTCGTATTTCTTCATAATCTATTAACTCCAGCAACTTTCCACCATACTGTTCTAACATCTCCACATTTTCTGAAAATTTCACAGTTAGTACTATGAGGTCGACAGCATAGCCATAGCAAGCAAGTCTAGTAGGTGCATTATCCTGATCATCGCCTGCTCCAAGTTTCAGGTATGCAAACAATATTTCTATATTATTTCCAACACTCAGCAGCGATGTAACAGCATGCCGGCCAGCCAGCGAAAGAAGAAGTGAAGTTAAAGCATTGAAATGAACTACTGCTTGGGAGTAGTCGGTATTGTGGGTAGTGGCCAACTGTGCCAGGGAATCTAACTGCTGGAGAGCATGGAAGGTGTGCACCATTTGCATTCCCAACTGATGTAAAGAGGTGTCCTCATTCCCTTCTTCACGACCATCCTCTCCTAGCTGGATAAACACATCTAATTAGATTTTTCTTTTACATATATATGCAATAATACAAAATCTTACAAATTCAAATAATTTATTAAATAAACTGCATCAACCAAACAAAAATTATCATTTACCTTCATTTTGTACTACAGTATATATATACACTAATTACAGTATATTGTATTTTTATATCCTGTGTAATATTATCAGATATAGTACACTATATTTTTGGCACTGTATTTAAAAAAAAAAATTGTTGAACAGATTCTTCCCTCTATTTGTCTTGGAGTTGTGAAATAACACTCCTCAGTCCACCAGAGCTATACAGTACAACAATTATTTTTCACACGACCACAGGAAACTATAAATTACCTGCGTCAAACTCCTAGCAATGGTAGTGGATGATTCAGGATGAGCAGCCATATACTTAATACCATGACCAAATGACAGCAGACACTCCAAAAGGCTCTTGATATCAGCAACCAAAACGCCATTCTGAACTGCACCTAAAGCTCCAAGCAAAATTGCCAATGACTGTAGAAGATCACCATGATCTAAAAGCAAATATAGCTGCGGGTATGGATCATGAGGATTCTTGGGCAACTGGAACTGTTTTGAGCCGGGTAACCACCTGGAACATATCATAGGATTACATATTTTCATAAAAGACTAATTAAGTTTTGAGTAAACATCAAAAGCTACTATCTGAGCAAGACACTAAGATGCTTCCTTGAGCAAGATCCGTGGCACATCCAGAGCGCCTGTCACTGAGTCACTGGTGAAGTTAGACTGATAATATTATGTCCCTAATTGACTTATATCAATGCTTCACCTGACTTGTTTGTGTTGGTCCTTGGTAGGGTGATCATCATTTAGTGTGACGGGAAGCTTTGCTGGTTACTTTAACTCCTTGGTAACATCTATTAATGTTAATTCAATTAATTAATGCAATTGCAGATGTTATTACTGGTTGGCAAATAGATTACAAGGTATCATTAATGATTATGGGGATTTTTAGGAACCTTTTGCTAGTTGCAATAGAATTCTTTGGAATGTTGAATAGCTTAGGGATAATTTAGGTGGCTGGCACATTTGACTTAATGTAGTTTTTCATAATGGCATCTTATCTGGCTGCACCAAGAAGTGGTCTGTCCACCCATCCACCCAAATAGTTCACCCATACATGGTTCTTATCAAGTGTTTCCTAAATGGAGTACCTAGCCCCAATGCCTAGTCCTGGAGAAAGTACCTCAGCACCAATGCCTAGTCCTGGAGAAAGTACCTAGCCCCAATGCAGTCCTGGAGAAAGTACCTAGCCCCAATGCCTAGTCCTGGAGAAAGTACCTCAGCACCAATGCCTAGTCCTGGAGAAAGTACCTAGCCCCAATGCAGTCCTGGAGAAAGTACCTAGCCCCAATGCCTAGTCCTGGAGAAAGTACCTCAGCACCAATGCCTAGTCCTGGAGAAAGTACCTAGCCCCAATGCAGTCCTGGAGAAAGTACCTAGCCCCAATGCCTAGTCCTGGAGAAAGTACCTCAGCACCAATGCCTAGTCCTGGAGAAAGTACCTAGCCCCAATGCAGTCCTGGAGAAAGTACCTCAGCACCAATGCCTAGTCCTGGAGAAAGTACCTAAGCACCAATGCCTAGTCCTGGAGAAAGTGCCTAGCCCCAATGCACAGTCCTGGAGAAAGTACCTAAGCACCAATGCCTAGTCCTGGAGAAAGTACCTAGCCCCAATGCAGTCCTGGAGAAAGTACCTAGCCCCAATGCCTAGTCCTGGAGAAAGTACCTCAGCACCAATGCCTAGTCCTGGAGAAAGTACCTAGCCCCAATGCAGTCCTGGAGAAAGTACCTCAGCACCAATGCCTAGTCCTGGAGAAAGTACCTAAGCACCAATGCCTAGTCCTGGAGAAAGTGCCTAGCCCCAATGCACAGTCCTGGAGAAAGTACCTAAGCACCAATGCCTAGTCCTGGAGAAAGTGCCTAGCCCCAATGCACAGTCCTGGAGAAAGTACCTCAGCACCAATGCCTAGTCCTGGAGAAAGTACCTCAGCACCAATGCACAGTCCTGGAGAAAGTACCTCAGCACCAATGCACAGTCCTGGAGAAAGTACCTAAGCACCAATGCCTAGCCCTGGAGAAAGTACCTAAGCACCAATGCCTAGTCCTGGAGAAAGTACCTAGCCCCAATGCACAGTCCTGGAGAAAGTACCTAAGCACCAATGCCTAGTCCTGGAGAAAGTACCTAGCCCCAATGCACAATCCTGGAGAAAGTACCTAAGCACCAATGCCTAGTCCTGGAGAAAAAACCTCAGCACCAATGCACAGTCCTGGAGAAAGTACCTCAACACCAATGCACAGTCCTGGAGAAAGTACCTAGCACCAATACCTAGTCCTAGGTTTATCTTGAGATGATTTCGGGGCTTTTTAGTGTGCCCGCAGCCCGGTCCTCGACCAGGCCTTCACCCCCCAGGAAGCAGCCCGTGACAGCTGACTAACACTCAGGTACCTATTTTACTGCTAGGTAACAGGGGCATAGGGTGAAAGAAACTCTGCCCACTGTTTCTCGTCGGCGCCTGGGATCGAACCCAGGACCGCAGGATCACAAGTCCAGCATGCTGTCTGCTCGGCCGACCGGCTCCCTGGAGAAAATACCTAAGCACTAATGCACAGTCCTGGAGAAAGTACCAAGCACTAATGCACAGTCCTGGAGAAAGTACCAAGCACTAATGCACTGTCCTGGAGAAAGTACCTAGCCCCAATACCTAGTCCTGGAGAAAGTACCTCAGCACCAATGCACAGTCCTGGAGAAGAGCAAATGTAGGAGGAACTTCAAGAAAAGGAATCCACAGCTGAAGCATAAACAGAACCAGAACCAGGAAATAAATTCTGGGTTATACATCAATTAAGTCAAATGACACATAGGACTTGCCATACCCACACACAAAACGTAAGTACACAATACAAACCCACTGCACAGTGAAACCTAGGTTTATAAAGATTAAAACAAGTCCCTTAACTGAATCCTGTCTTATCCTAATCCTGAATCCTAATCCTGAAAGCCTGCCTAACCATTGTGGGTACAAATCGAGAATATGATATAAATTGGCGGTAGGGACGTGGTGTTTGTGAGGGTGCTATCATCTGGTATCAGTCAAGGGTGTCAGTCAGGTGGGAACAAAAGACTACTACTCAGTGGTCCTTGTGATGCCAAGTAGGATTGGGAGAGATTATGAGTGTTCATAAATGAATTAGTTATAATCACTTTTGGATGGCTTGATGGGAAGCTTTGCTGGTTACTGGAACTAACCATTAACTCAACCAATAACTCCCTACCATCAATGATCTTTTTTCGGCTGGTGCAGAATTTCACTCTGAACAGACTATATCATCCTGTCCAAAGGGATATAAAATGATCTTGTCATAGAGAGCATCAAAGCAGAATTGCTCAGGCAGTTTATTAAATTAATACATACAATGTATATTTACATTATAAATACTGTAATATAAAATAATTCATATAAATGTTTTCTGTGGAGAGCCCATTCAGCTCCCTGGAGCTATTGGACTGATATATGATACAGTATATTAGTCTGAGGCATCAGTCAACGGAGTTCTAGGCCTACCGAAGACCACGAGCCAGAACCTGGCCCTCTCAGAGGCACAGGGAGCAATGGCCTACAAACACCCCCATGTGTTTGGGAGCATTCCATGTCTGCCATCAACCAGGGACTAGCACCCAGAAAGATAGGCATAACAAAACAGATACCACATGGTGAGAAATTGCAACCGAAGACCGAACAGAGAGACAGAATACCCAAAAAACCAGCGTTGAATGTAATGAAACGCCATTTTCTGGGTGAGTCCCGGAGGCTCCCCGGAGCTATCCCAGGCTGATATGCTAATGTCAGACTTTGGCATCAGTCATGTGTATGGAGTTCTTAGGCCTACCGGGGACCACGGCCAGAACCGGGCCCCCTCAGAGAGGCAAGGGGAGCAATGGCCTATAGAAGCCCCCGTGTAGTTGGAAGCAGTCTATGTCTGCCATCGACCGGAACAGGCACCCAGAAAGGTAAGCGCCCCAAAACAAACCCCTATTCTGGTTAAAATTGCTACCTAAAACCGAACTAGTGGATAGAACTCCCCCAACCGAAAATAAGCAAACTAGTGTGACGTCACACACTGCCGCGCCGCTGTCTGCGCAGCTCCCCCCTCCCCGGGAGGGGGAAGGGGGAGCCCCAGACCCCCCGCGCCGGCTACCCACACCTCAGTTCTTGAGGCTGGATGTCAAAAACGCGAAAAAACGCCGACCGGAGGGAGGGAGGGATGCCGGGGAGCCTCCGGGACTCACCCAGAAAATGGCGTTTCATTACATTCAACGCTGGTTTTCTGGGGGGAGCCCCGTCGGCTCCCCGGAGCTAACTACCCACAGACAGAAAAAGAGGGACTTACCCGGGAGGCGGTCGTCGCTCACCCCTCAACTCGAAGCTGAGACAACTGGCTGCAACCGCCGACCCAAAGCAACACAGGCCCGACGAGGCCCAGGGACATTCACAAGGTAACGAGCAGCCAGGACCCTGTTCGACCGCCAAAATCCCCGCGCCCGAATATCAGACCAAGACATATTCCCAAAGACGGCAGCAAGAGCCGTGAACTTACGAACGTCATGGGCACGGGGATAGACCGCAGGCTGGCTGGACCTAATAAGCCTGCGGACGACCTGAGAGACCCGAACCCGCGAACAGGGAAGAAGGGAAACCGGATCAACCCACAGCGCGTCCCCGGACACAGAAGCTGTGGCGCGCAAATAACGGCGAAGCGCCGCAACCGGACACAAAACATGATGCACCCCCGGCCTGACCAACCAAGCATCAACCACCCATGGACCCCTCCGGAACGCAGCAGTCTCATTCTTCGCCAGAAAAGAAGGAGACGGCTGCAAACGAACAAAACTATCACCACGACCAAAAGAGCAGAAACCCCTGCGCCGGAGGAGAGCATGAAGCTCCCCTACCCGACCCCCAGAGGCCAAAGCCAACAAGAAAAGTGCCTTGGAAAAACAATCCTGGACCGAAGGGGCCACAACGAAACGAGGAGATGAAAGGAGAGCGAGCACTCTGTCCAAAGACCAGGACGGCTCAGGCGACGCATGAGCAGGCCGGAGGTGAAACAATGCACGAGACAGCTTGCGAAATGGCGCAGATGTAACATCGATACCGAAAGCAAGCTGAAGCGGCTCCGCCAGCGCCACACGATACGAAGCGACAGTGTTAGGCATAAGATGACGGTCCTGAAACAACCACGAGAGGAAGGACAAGACCACCCGAACAGACAAGGAGCTAAGACGACGAAGACGCAAAAAGAAACGGAAGGACCGCCAGGAAACTTCATACTGCCGCCGAGAAGAAGCCCTCAGGTGGGACACCAACAAGGAGGCCACCTGATCACCATAGAGATGATGATAGACTCGAGTCAAAAAAACCATACGCGAAGACTCGAGGAGAAGATCGAACCAGCTACGTGACGTACCGGCCCGATCTGCTGAAAGAGGCGGAGCCGCGGGAAAACCCTCGGGTTCGGACTCCAAGCAACCAGCGCCTGAAACCAAGGCTGGGCCGGCCACCAAGGGG